TTTCTCCGTAGTGACAACCTTGGTAAGCATATCAGCCGGGTTCTTGCTTCCTTGAATCTTCACAAGTTCCAACATGTCCTCGTCCAACGCTGATCTTATGAAGTGGTAGCGGACCTGTATGTGTTTGATCCTTGCATGAAAAGAGGGATTCTTCACCAATTGAATTGCGCTCTGGCTATCACAATGTAAGACACTCTTCTCACTCTTCTGTCCTAGCTCCTCCAAGAAACCCTGCAACCATATCATCTCCTTGCTTGCCTCTGTCACAGCAACATGTTCAGCCTCTGTCGTTGATAAAACAATGATCTTTTACAACTGAGAAACCCAACTAATAGCTGTAGAGCCCAAATTGAATACGTATCCTGTAGTGCTCCTTCTCTAGTTTATCTCACCAGCATAGTCTGCATCAACAAAACCCTGCAAAACTAACTTGCCTCTCCTGAAGTATAAACAGTCTTCTATTGTACCTCGTAGGTATCTCAGAATCCACTTTACTGCTTCCCAGTGCTGCTCTCCTGGATCTGACATAAATCTGCTCACAGCTCGCACTATATGGGTAATGTCAGGTCTCATGCATACCATGGCGTACATGAGCCTTCCAATGGCTGAAGCATATGGAACCTTAGCCATGTAGTCTTTCTCTTCATCAGTCTCGGGGCACTGCTCCTTAATCAATTTGAAATGACTAGCTAGCGTGTGCTAACGGCCTTAGCACCACTCATCCTGAATATCTCAAGCACCCGTCTAATGTACTCGGCCTGAGATAGCCACAGTGTGCCCAAGATCTTGTCTCTACTGATCTTCATTCCTAATATCTGCTTAGTTGTGCCTAGATCCTTCATGTCGAACTCACTCGACAGCTGCTTCTTCAGCTTCTTGTTCTCTCTCATGTCTGAACCGGCTATTAGCATGTCGTCGACATATAAAAGCAGGATGATGTAACTGTTGTCAAACTCCTTGACAAAGCAACAGTGATCAGCATTGCACCTGGAGTAACCGTACCTGTGCATGAATCCATCGAACTTTTTGTACCATTGCCTTGGAGCTTGTTTCAGGCCGTACAAGCTCTTCTTCAATCTGCATACCATCTTCTCTTTTCCCTTCTGAGTAAACCCCTCTGGCTGCTGCATATATATCTCTTCTTCTAGATCACCGCTGAGGAAAGCTGTCTTTACATCTAGCTGCTCGAGATGTAGATCTTCAACTGCAACAATACTCAAGACTGTTCTGATGGTAGTCAGTTTGACTACAGGAGAGAAGACCTCTGTGTAATCAACTCCTTCTCTCTGCTAAAATCCTTTAACCACCAATCTAGCCTTGTATCTCTTGGAACCATCATGTTCCTATTTGATTCTGTACACCCATTTGTTGCTCAAGGCCTTTTTCCCCATTGGTAGCTTCGCAAGTTCCCATGTCTTGTTGGTGTTCAAGGATTTTTTCCCCATTGGTAGCTTCGCAAGTTCCCATGTCTTGTTGGTGTTCAAGGATTTTATTTCATCTTTCATGGAGAGCTCCCACTTGCTCGCATCATCCACTCGAAGTACCTCATCATAACTTTCTGGCTCTCCAACGTCACTCAATAATAGGTAGTTGAGATGGGCTCTGGGCTGTAGTGATGGATACTTTAAATTAGGCTTGAGGACTCTAGCTGACCACCTCAACTCTCTAACGGGCGAAACAAGCTCTCCATTTTCATCTGCCCCCTCTGAAGTAGTCGCATCCATTAACTCTTCTTCTTCATCAGAACTAGCTTTGGGATTGCCTTCATCTGAGGCATCATCTGACTCGAAGTATGTGGGATAACTCTGCACCGAACTAGTGGACTGAACGGCATCACGATCTTTGTAGAGGACTGTTTCATTAAGGACCACATCCCTGCTTCTGATGATTTTCTTGTTCTGCTCATCCCAGAATTTGTAGCCAAACTCATCACCGCCATAGTCAACAAAGAAACATTTCAAAGACTTAGGATCAAGTTTGTTTCTTGCATGATCACTCAGATGAACGTATGAAACACATCCAAATACTCTCAGGTGAGAAAGATTTACCTGCTTTCCACTCCATACTTCTTCAGGTATTTTGTGCTTCAAAAGCACTGATGGTCCCCGGTTGATTAAGTAGGTAGCTGTGTTGACTGCTTCTGCCCAGAATTGCTTTGGAAAACCTGCTTGTAACTGCATACTTCTGGCTCTCTCAGTCAACGTTCTGCTATGCCATTCTGCTAGGGTGTACCTGGTACTATCCTCTCTAATCTAATGCCGCTGTCATAACAGAACCTCTTGAACTCTAAGTCTTCATACTCGCCACCGTTGTCAGAACGAAGCTTCTTGATCTTCAAACCGGTCTCGTTCTCTATCATAGCCTTCCATCTCTTGAAGACTTCAAACACTTCTGATTTGTGTTTCATGAAATAGACCCAAGTCTTCCTCGAGTGATCATCTATGAAGGTCACAAAATATAACCTTCCGCCGGTGGATGGTACTGATGCTGGACCCTACACATCTGTGTAAACTAACTCTAGCTTCTCTTCTTTAGGAGTTCTGCCAACCCTTTTGAAGCTTATTCTCTTTTGTTTCCCAAGAATGCAACTTTCACATAAGTCAATATCAGTCGATCTCAAACCTGGTAACTTCCCATTCGACTGCATAACCTTTAGGCCTTTGTTACTCATGTGACCTAGCCTCTGGTGTCACAAATTTGGGTCTTCCTTACTTTTAGCCACTGCAATGGAACCACGTGCATCTATCGTCATGTAGAAGGACCCTGTCTACGTACCACGGGCAACAACCATGGACCCCTTTGTAACCTTCCACATATCACATGCGAAGGTTGATACATATCCCTCTTTCGTCAATTGTCCTATGGAAATCAGATTTTTCCTCAAACTAGGAACATGTCTCACATCACTCAGCTTCCATATAGACCCATTGAGCTTGATCTGCATGACTCCTTTGACAACAATATCACGGGCTGATCATCACCAAGATAGACTTTTCCTAGGTTTCCTGAGACGTAGTTCTCAAATAATTCTCTATTTGAGGTAGCATGAAACGAAGCTCCTGAATCCAGCACCGACGATTCAGTCTTGCTCTCCAACGAACAGATTAGGGCATCATCTGATTCTCCTGAGGCCACGTTTGCTTCAGTCTTGTTCAACAGATTAGGGCATCATCTGATTCTCCTGAGGCCACGTTTGCTTCAGTCTTGTTCTCCTTGTCCTTCTTGGGTTCTCGGCACTGATTAGGCCACGTTTGCTTCAGTCTTGTTCTCCTTGTCCTTCTTGGGTTCTCGGCACTGATTCTCATAGTGGCCTAACTTGCCATAATTCCAGCAATCGATCTCCTTCTTGCTCTTGCGATTTCTGGCCTTTGACCTCCTGTTCCTCGAGTTAGGTCTTCCTCGGCTATTCCCTCTATTTCTGTTTCTGTTTCTTCCTCTGCTCTCAAGATTCAACGCCGACCCTGAATTAGAAATCCCTTCCTCTTGTCTTCTAATCTCCTCAGTCATAATCATGTCCACCACCTCCGAAAACATCAGTTTTGATTTGCCACATGATCCACTAATCGAGATAACGATACCCTTCCAACTGTCGGGTAATTGGCCAAGTATCAAGAGGGCTTGGATTTCATCGTCAAACTAAATATCGACCGAGTTTAGTTGATCCGTGATCTCGTTAAACTCGTTCAGGTGTTCCTTGAATTTCTGGCTCTCGGACATCCTCAAATTAAACAGCTTTTTAATGAGATGTACCTTATTCGCCGTAGAGGGCTGCTCATACATACTGGACAACACCGCCATGAGATCCGCCGTCGTATTCTGATTCTTGATGTTGAACGCTACTGATTTAGACAAGGTCAACCTGATCGCTCAAGGGCCTTTTCGATCCAATAGCTTCCAATCCACATCCTTCATATCCGTCGGCTTCTCTCCCAATGGTAGGTATAAATCCTTCTGATAGAGGTAGTCTTCCATCTGCATCTTCCAGAACCCAAAGTTTGTTTCATCAAACTTCTCAATCTTGGATGTTTCCTTCTCAGATCCCATGTCTCTGACCTCAAATCGCTCGTGCTGAACCTGGTCGCTCTGATACCACTTGTTGGGGATGCACAACCCCGTGATGCGATTGGAAATAGAGATTTAGGAGAGAAGAGAGAATTCAATCAATCACAAACACACAAGATTTACGTGGTTCACTTCTCAATGTGAGAAACTACGTCCACGGCCGCCGCAAGAGAAAATTTTACTATTTTCGTCTTAATTATATCATGCCCTAATCAACCCTTTTATATACATAAGGGTTTAACAAACAGAAAAGGAAACAGGTCAAAAACCGCTACTCGGCCAAAACCCGACTCGCGGTCGACCGTCGCGCCACTCGCGGTCGACCGTCGCGCCACGCGCGGTCGACCGTCGCGCCACGTGCGGTCGACCGCGATGAAGCCTGCTGTTGGGCTGCTCTCTGGACTTTTGGCGGTCGACTGCTGCGCCACTCACGGTCGACCGTGACGAGCTCTTGACCAAAGTGTCTATTCTGTGCACGTCGGTGGTTGACCGCCGCGCCATGCGCGGTCGACCCCAACCCAGTCAAAATGCATTCTTCGTCATTTTTCTTGAACTTCGTCGTCGTGAATCCTGTTTCTCCTGTTCCACTTTGTTCCTCTTCATTCTGAAGTATATGACAGGTCTGATAGTTAGGCTTCACAAATCCTAACAATTCATGCTTATATTATATATTTATGCTAATAATGTATTGCAAATTACAGAAGGATATTCAGGCTTATTTGTATATTCGTGCTTAACTGTACTTGTAGCAAAGATTTTATGTCGGGGACTATGAGAACAACCTAGTCATCCAAGATTCCATAAAGAAAAAGTGTCAGAGTATATATAGAAATTGGAAGCATGAGTTGCATGCCTACTATCTTGGTTTAATAGAGAAGGGAGTACCTGATCCCAAGAACCATCCACCGAAGCGTGTGGAGCCCAATGATTGGGTATCGATGATCGATGCGTGGGAAACTGAAGAATGGAAGGTATAGATCTCAAATCACTTTATTAAATTATCATGTTAATTTTATTTGTTGTGATTTATTTTAATAATATATTTTATATTGGTTATTAGACAAAATCTTATAAAGTGAAGGAGAGTCGATCAAAGTTGCCCTACAATCATATATCTAGTTCCCAATCATTTGTAGCAGTGATGTCACTAATTGTAAGTTTTGATTTATAAGTTTTTACATTTTAAATAAATAGACTATAAATAGTTATTAACAACCTTAATGATATATTTATTAAATTACAGAAATCAAAAAATGATGGGCAAGCTCCATCTTTATCGGAATTTTACAAGGAAACCCACTACCAAAAAAATGAAAGTATGGGTAAACGAGAAAGCACAAGTTACCTATGTACGTATGTCCAATTTACTTTTGTTAAATCAATCTATAAAAAAATTATATCTATTCATTAATGATATGGATCTTACATCTTTAAAATGACAGGAGCGATTAGTCAACAAGACTATCGAACAATCTCAACCCGAAGTTACATCCCCAATGAATGAGTTTGAGATCTCCATTGATGTACTTGGAAGGAGGCCAGGTTACCTGAATGGGTATAGGATCTACCTTCGAAGGAGTTTATCTACCAGGTCTATTGCAAAGTCAGCTGAGCAAGATGCTGAGGTCGTGGCTTTAAAGGAGACATTAATTGTGCAAGCCGAACAGATTGCCTCATAAGCTGAGCAGATGAACGCACAAGCTAAGAAGACTGCTAATCTTGAGGCTTTAGTGCATCAGCTATTTGCATATAGCCAGCCTGGAGCGAGCGGTGGTAGTAGAGATTTCTCATTGAGATGAGGTCAGACTTGCATTTAATTTTTTCTTATTAGACTTATTTATGGTTTCTAGACATACACTATTAAATTTAATGCTAGTAAAAGCATAATACAACATTAGCCTTGCAATTCCCTATATCATGGTCCTGGGATTGTTGGGATTGATGGCTAGTGACCCATGAAAACATTTGGACACCTGATTATCTTAGAAGAACTTTTCATTAAGAATTAACTTAAAAGTAATATTTAAGGATAATCATTCACCAAAGTTATAATCCAAAGTTACCAAACATGCTCATAGATAGAAATTGACATTAGTTAGTAAATATAACTTTAAAAAACTCCACAGTTTCTTCAACCTTTGCTCCTGTTGGCGCCGTGAGGAAGCGTGCTCGAGAACCAAACGAGTCGGTGAGTGATGAGAGAAGAAAACCAAACCAAATCAAGAGTGCAATTCACCAAAATACGACACAAATCAAACCAAACACAAGGATTTATGTGGTTCGACAATTGCCTACGTCCACGGGGAGAGGATGGGGAGATTTCACTATATGGAGGAGAAATACAACGGGTTACAACTCACAAAATCACTCAAATATAACCCTAACCAAAGCTCTCAACTCCCTCACAATATCTCCCTCTCAAAGTGCTCAAAACAATACTAATTCTCTCCTTTTCTCTCATTGAGAAACCCTAAAAAACGTGGTCCTATTTATAATAAAACACAATCCCAAACAAAGGAGGATTCCCAAACAAAGGAGGATTCTAAAAACGAGTCTGCCACACCAGGATGTGGCGCAAACTACACCCATGGTAGACAGGGTAGATTCTACCATAGCAGGGTGTGGCGCAGACCACACCCTTGGCAGACAGGACAGATTCTGCCACACCCATGGCAGACACCACACCAGGGTGTGGTGAAGTCTGTTTTGGGTTTTTCTTCACGTTTTTCACAATTTCTTCACCGTTTTCACAATTCTCCACCTCGGCGAAGTGTTCCCAACACTGAGCCGACACAAACATGAGCACCAATGTGTCTTCTCTCTAAACTCGGCTGCACCAATATGATTGCCTACGTATCCCCTCTCCCAAGGGATCAAGCAGCCCGTAGTTCATCCAAATGGCCGCGAACAACCTCAAACCAATAGAAGAGTTCGCAACCCTTCTCCAATATCATCAACTCTGCGGCTGATAGTACCTCCAATGGCCTCAAACACCTCCACCTGAGGTGAACCAATGTCCATATCCAAACTGCATCTATCAGCCGCATTCGAATCAGAATCCAACTTATCATCTGCACCTAAATCCAAATGATCCCTAAGCTATGTCACCTCAGCTGGAATCCCAAATAATGCAGTATGATCTGGAGTAATCTTCACCCAATGTGGAGTAGCATCAAACTCCACCCGCTGCGATACATCTAAGGTCTGTCTAAAACTCTTCACCTGCTGAGAGTCAAATAGCTCCCTCATCGAAGCCTCAACCGAAGTGACACTACAAGACCTATCTTCTAATGGAGTTTTACCTCCAATCACAGCAGTTGACAACTCTTTAATAGGATGACCCAAATATGTCGAAGACTCGGTCCAGAAACTCTTCTGCAAACTATTGCTTGACAACAAACACCGATCCTCCTCCAGTAAGGCACGGTTCTCCAAATTTGTCACCATATCTAGCTGCCCCAAGATTTCCTTTCTAACGAAGTGTCTCGAAATGTCGTGAGCTCTGCTCCAATGTAGAAACAGGTCCATCTTGTACCTCCCATCAAAATCAGAATGGAGTACCTTCACCTTTCTATCTGTAACACACTTCTTCAATCTATTAGATACTACTAGGACTTTCTCCAAAAGGGATTTGGTTGCAACCCAAACACGCCTAGAATAGTCACCAACAAAGGAAACCAAACGCCTATTACCTCCCAATGATGCCCCCTTGGAAGGCCCCCAAACATCCACGTGAACTCCTTTAGAACGACCATTAGCACGGTGAATTGAGGTGCCACACTTCACCTCGGTCTTCTTGCTCACATCAACATGTTCACTGGACTTTAAATTGTAGGTCTTTATACCCTCTTTTAATCTATGCGAGAAATCAATACTGGAATGGCCAAGCCCCAAATACCGCAGTCTAGTCGAATCAACAGAAGTCGCTAGTTCTCCACCTGCCACTATACCTCTAGTCAAGTAATACAGGTTATTCCTCTTGACGCCCTTCATCACAATCTGAGAGTCTTCCACAATCTTGAGAACCATGTCCTCAATTCGAACATTCAGACCCTCTCCAACTAAAGCTCCAATTGAGATCAAGTTCTTCCTCAAAGAAGGAACATATCTCACATCATTTAACTCTCTAACAGCCCCGTCAAATATTTTGATGTGAATTCTTCCTATCCCAAGGATCTTGCATGCACGGTTATCAGCCATGTACACCACACCACTATCCAGCTTCTCAAAATTAGAGAACCATTCCCTTCTAGGGCACACATGATAGGTCGCACCACTATCCAACATCCATTCAGATTCCTTCGAATAGTTATCTGTAGGACTGATAGAAAGCGAATAAATAGAAGAGTCGGAATTATTACCATCCGATACAATGTTTGCTTCTGATGATGGTTGCTTCTCTTTTCCCTTCTGCTTATTCATCATCCATTCGTCGAGCTTTGGGCAGTGTTTCTTCCAATGACCAGTCTCCTTGCACCAAGCACACTGATCTTTTCTAATTGTAGGATGCCCTACTCTAGACTGTGACTTCCAATTCTTCCGGTTCGGATTCTTCCCTCTTGCGACCAACGCCTCTGCTACCGGCTCAACTGAAGTCTCCTTATCCTTCTTTCGAAGTTGATAATTCACAAGTGCAGCTGTGACCTCACTATATGAAAGTGATGCATTCCCATTAATCAGAGTAAGAATGAAGGTCTCATATTCCTCGTCGGGCAAGGAACTCAACAACAGCAACGCCTTGTCCTCATCTTCAATCACGACATCCACATTTGCCAAATCCACAAGAAGCTTAGTGTAGTGGTTCATGTGATCTCTAATGGAGGTTCCCTTCTTTAATTGGAAACGATAAAGCCTCCTCTTCAAATGCAAGCGATTTTCCACACTCTTGGTCAAATACTTTCTTTCGAGAATCTCCCAAATCTTCCTTTGTGTAGTGGTTCATGTGATCTCTAATGGAGGTTCCCTTCTTCAACTGGAAACGATAAAGTCTCATCTTCAAATGCAAGCGATTCTCAACACTCTTTGTCAGATACTTGCTTGCGAGAATCTCCCAAATCTTCTTTGCAGAAGTCTCATTCATCACATCATATTTTAGATCTTGAGTCAAACAAGATCTAATCACACCACACGCCGTTCGATTCATCTTCTTTCAAACCTTCTCTTCAATCTCATCTGGCTTGTCATCTAACTCCAAGGTATCCTCCAAATTCTACGCGTTCAGCGCATCCAAAACCTCGCATCTCCATAATCCAAAATTATTTGTGCCATTAAACTTTTCCACATCTATCTTCATAGAGTGGATATTCAAACTCTGAATGGTCTTCGCGCCAGAAGCACCACCCTCGACACCCGAAGCACCTTCTTTCCCCGACATCTTTCTCAACGCACCAACGAATGAAGAATAGATCCAAAACTGAAAAGATAGTCTTTTACCAAAAGATCCCACCTTTATCACCAAACGAAGCCCTAGACGAGCCTCTAAATTGATCTACTCCTCCAAATAGCCCAAGCGTAGCCCGAGCTCTGATACCACTTGTTGCGCGCCGTGCGGAAGCGTGCTCGTGAACCAAACGAGTCGGTGAGTGATGAGAGAAGAAAACCAAACCAAATCAAGAGTGCAATTCACCAAAATATGACACAAATCAAACCAAACACAAGGATTTACGTAGTTCGGCAATTGCCTACGTCCACGGGGAGACGATGGGGAGATTTCACTATATGAAAGAGAAATACAATAGGTTACAACTCACAAAATCACTCAAATATAACCCTAACCAAAGCTCTCAACTCCCTCACAATATCTCCCTCTCAAAGTGCTCAAAACAATACTAATTCTCTCTTTTTCTCTCCTTGAGAAACCCTAAAAAACGTGGTCCTATTTATAATAAAACACAATCCCAAATGAGGATTCCCAAACAAAGGAGGATTTTAAAAATGAGTTTGCCACACCAGGGTGTGGCACAGACCACACCCATGGCAGACAGGGCAGATTCTGCCACACCAGGGTGTGGCGCAGACTACACCCATGGCAGACAGGGCAGATTCTACCACACCCATGGCAGACACCACCACACCAGGGTGTGGTGAAGTCTGTTTTGGGTTTTTCTTCACGTTTTTCATAATTTCTTCGCCGTTTTCACAGCTCCATGCTTCATCATCTCAGCTATATATTTTTAAACAACAAACATTATATACACATACATAAATGTGTCAAGTGTGTGTGAATCTTAAGAATGTACTGGATCATAACTAGGTAAAGATGTTCTATTCTCAACTGGAGTGACATGAACATGACATGAAATTATTGGATATGAATTAACTGGATCATAACTAGGTAAAGATGTTCTAGTCTCACTAATAAGACATGAAATTATTGGATATGAATTAACTGGATCATAACTAGGTAAAGATGTTCTAGTCTCACTAATAAATAGGTTAGTACTCAGAAGGATTAATCATAACTAGGTAAAGATGTTCTAGTCTCACTAATAAATAGGTTAGTACTCAGAAGGATTAAGGGACCAATATGGGTCCACAAGAAGAGGTGATATGTTTGTGACAACGTAAATAGTGAATCTCTGTTTTCATATAAAAAATAATGACAATCTCTGTGGCTTACAAATACAAGGGGGCTATGCACAATTGAGAGATAGTACAGGGGGTGTATTCGTAATTAACCCTAGGAATTTGATTGTTCCTCTCTTTTTTATGAAGGAAAATGATAGGGGCACACCCCCAATCACATCCCAAACCACACCCCCTCTCTCAAATGCTACAGTGCACCGGGCCTCACATGGGATTTTAAAATTTTAAAAGTCTCATGTGGGGCCCGGTGCACTGTAGCATTTGAGAGAGGGGGTGTGGTTTGGGATGTGGTTGGGGGTGTGCCCCTAGTGCCACCCTTTTATGAAAGTATTCTGTTCTTCTTCTTCTTCTTTTTACTGTCTGTTCCTTTCGTTTTGTTTTCTTTTACCAACTGAAAAGAATCTAATATTATGTTGCCTTCAAATCTTAGTCCCTGTCTAAAGGATCATTCATGAGGGAGCATGTCGATAATCCTCAGTAGTCTCAAGTTAACTACACTAAGTACCCAAAAAATTCCTGACTATTAGCATTTATATACTTTGGTATGATTGTGTATGCAGTTTAATACCGCAAATTATTTTCTTTTAAATGACCTTTATGATGATGGATATAGTCCAAAAGAAGCCAAATTATCTTTATCACTGTTGTTATTGTTATACCTTTGACAAATATTAGTGTCCAAAAAACCTATCACTTGTGACTTAGATGAGAACTGGAGTATTTAGCTACAAATTAACTAAAGGAAAATACGTCGATTACAAAAGGTGTGAGAATACTAGATATCAAAATTGTAGAGAAACTAAGGTATTTGTATTTTAGGTACTCAAACTACAATTGAACCAAGACAATAGACCAATGATTGGCCAATGTACCTACATCATTATATACTTAGATCTGTAACTAATTTTTATTACCAACCGGCCATCATATAATTAGAAATTCTAAAATGGTGTATTTGAAATCGTGTCTGTAGGATTTACAGGTATTTGCATCAGAGATTGGTGAAATTTTTACACTCGCATTCACGGCTATTTTTTATGCTGCTTTATTCTTGTTATGCAGGAACTTGGATTTGATTATCTTGGAAGCAGAGAGCAACTTGTCATGAGGTATTCTTGTTATGCAGGAACTTGGATTTGATTATCTTGGAAGCAGAGAGCAACTTGTCATGAGGTTACAAGCAAATTGGAATATTTAAACAGTTATTTGATTATCTTGGAAGCAGAGAGCAACTTGTCATGAGGTTACAAGCAAATTGGAATATTTAAACAGTTGTTCCCTTCTTTCTTTTCTTTCACATTTTCCTCTCTTTCCATTGTGTTTCTTTTTTTTTCCTTCATGGATTACAAGCAAACTGGAATATGTAAACAGGTCTTTGAGTGTTGACTTAGAAATAGAAATGAATGTAACTATTTTGCAATGGGAGTAAATTCTTTATTTATCATAATATACAACTTGTTTGGAGTATAATTTAATGTCTGATTTCTTTGTTGATGTGAATGGGAGCAAATTTTTTGTGGATGTTCAGGTTCAGTGTAGACTAAAAAGCGTCACTAAAAGTAACACTTTTGCCAACGCTATATTGCGTTGCCAAAAGTAATATCTTTTAGCGACGCTATCTTGCGTCGCCAAAGATATAGTTTTTAGCGACGCTTCATTTTGCGTTGCTAAAAGCTATACTTTTGCCGACGCTAACTTGCGTTGCAATAAGTATAATTTTTAACGGCGAACAGTTTTGCGTCGCTAAAAACTATATTTTTGCCGATGCTGCATGCGTCGCCAAAAGTATAAGTTTTGCTGACGCACTTTTGCATATGAAAAAATTCTGCATACTTTTGCTGACGCAGAGATACTATGCGTCGCTAAAAGATATACTTTTCCCGACGCATGAAACGTCGCCAAAAGTGTTGACTTTTACCGACGCAGTGTGTTTGTGTCGCCAAATATTTTCCTTGACGCACTTTTGGTAACGCGTTAGCGACGCTGTATTTTACGCCGGGAAAGATTTTTCCCAATATTTTTTAAACTTTTGTCGACGTTTTTGTTTCGTCGGCAATGTTGTATTTTGTTGTAGTGCTTCCTCGTGTGTTCGACATATTTCTATACTATAATTTGATAGTTGTGCACTTGTGACTTTGAATTATTTACCCCTATCAATATAACAACTTAAAATCAAAACTTGATTTTTAATGGAAGATGAAATAATAATTATGATTTTCCACTTGAATAAAGAATATCACACGTGTCAAAAATCTAGGATTCAACAAAATTGAAAGGGTTCAAATTTATCTGATTGTAATCTACTGTTAAAATTGATTCAGTGCTTGATAGGGTCCTTAGAATAGTGAAGAAAGGTGTTGCTCAGTTAACAGGTTACCTCCCTACGTAGTGCTACCTAAGTGTAAAGCTTGATGTTCATGCATTAGGTCATGGAGGTAGGGGCGACGGGGCTCATGTGGAGGAGCCGCTCAGGTACTCATGAACCGGGATGAGTAAATTTTGGATTCATGTATGCGCGAACCTAACCCAACACATGAAGTGTTGTGATCATATCACATTTAATGTGGATACTCTCTATCATATATAATAAAGTAATAGGGACAATTAGTATATTAGAACCGTTGATTTATTTAATAAATAGTTTTAATTTGTCTATATATTAGGAAAGACTAGCACCCAATTGATAGTATTAGATAGTCAATCTCAAAGACGGGAAATATAGATGTAACTTCAATCATTTAAAAGTTTGTGCTCTCGTTAGCGTGTGGTTGAGGGATTCAATATCTAGTTTGTTATCTCATTTACATTGATCACGACACTTTCCCACGAATAGGATCAAATCTCTCTCCTTCTCTCACTCAAATCTCTCTCGCCCCTGCCGATGACATCTTCTTCCACGGCCACCTCCTCCCTCTCCACCTCCGCTCCCATCCTCGTCCCTCCACCGACATATCTGTCGATGATATCACCATAATTCCTGACGGATCCCACCCAATTAATCTCAATGTAAACAATAAAAAAAACAAACCCATCTCCCTGTCCTCCTTATTAAAACTAACCAAGTGGTTGGAAGACAAGAAAAAGCATTTCCTGAAGAAGTTTTTCTCCAAGGAAGAGAAGCACAAGAGAGATCTCCAACGAAGGCCCTATTCGTTTTCTGGGAATTCGAACAGGAAAGAGAAGTGGATAAGCAGGATAGGGGAGTTCTCGGCTCCGGCGTCCATGAGGACTTCACCGACGAATAGTGGGCTTCTGCCGGCCACGCCGCCGGGGTACTCATCATCGAACGAGAGCTCCATGGAGGAGCTCCAGAACGCGATTCAGGCAGCCATTGCTCACTGTAAGAACTCTAGTGCAACAAAGGAGAGACAAGTAGAAGTATAAATTTTAAGGCTACATGTTAAAAAAACAATTTATTTAGTATGTATCTACGAATGGTGACTATGGCAATGATAATTGCAGCTCTAGTACTGTATTTGATCGTTGACACTTGTCGTTATATATTCTAGTCGAATCATAACCCTATACGAAATTAATCAACTGACGTAGATACTTTGGTCCTTCTACTGTTGAAAATGAAATTGATAGAAACACTCGATCGGATCCGTTTTTTAAGCCTTTTCATGTTAACCTCAAACGTACAAATTAAGCTACCCTAATGTAGATTAGTTCAGGACAACCCTGTCCTATTGGAAAAAATTGGCCCAACAAAATCTGGTCAACTCGTGGTCCAATTACTGCCAAACTGGGATTGATTCTTGTCTGGTTATCGTTCCACTTAATCTGATTATCTCAAGTTCATCAGCTCTTGTACCACTTTTTGAGACTTAATTAATGATACTTAAATAAAGGCAAGAAGCCAAGCGGGGTCAAAATTTTAACTGTGATATGTTGATGGTAAGTTTCAATTTAAATTCATTATTCTTTTAATTAATTCATTCCGTTGTAATTACTCACGTATGAAGTGTTCACGTTGCTTTAGGCATCTTAATGCCGAGAAATGTTAGAAAGCGTGTACTGGTTTTATGATCACAACTTTATTGCATAGGACAAGATGGATATTTTCTTGAATAGAGCGGGCAAGCGAGATAAATGAGGACCAAGATGGTCCCTACAAAGCATTATTGTCACAGTTCTATCATCATACCCTATCTCCATTTTAGAAAGAGGAGTACACATCCGTATCTTAACTCTACATCCATGTCTCACATTGAATTGATAAGTGCATCCAAGAATGCAATGATATTTTCCTATCAATGTTTTAAAATACCTCCATGTAGCTCATCTAAGCGTGTAAGTCTAGGCGGTATCTTGGCCACTTAGATCTAGGGGAGCATGGTCTGCCTAGTAGGACTGCAACTTTTAGTTTATCATGATTTCCTCCACTGCACCCTCTATATCTTCCAAATTCCTCCAACCTCCAACTATAAGCACTTCGCCTACCTCTCCCAACCTTCAGTAAAACTTCCTCCATCTCTACTTAAAAAATCTGTCTAACTTTCAGTCCAACACCTAAACTTTCTATAACATTACATTTACTATCAATATTTATAATTAAACTAAAAAAATAAGAAAAACGTCTAGGTTTTCGCCTAGGTGCCTAGACATTAGATGTTAGGTCTAATGCCTAAGCCGCCTAGCGCTTTTTGTGAATTCGTTTACTAGCTGGTAAAAATGAGTTACATGGTTTATCACATAACTATTATGACACCGATATAAAAATAAAAAATTCCTAGAGATTTATTAGTATATAAAATTATAGCTCTTGAAGTTTTGCTGCAGCAGAACTGATCTTTAAGATTGTAACAAGCCAGTTTTAAAAATCATCGGCATAAATGTAAAATAGATTAAAAAAAGGTATTGTTACTTAAGTTCAGATTTCAACTCATAAAAGAGTGATCAACCTACATGTTTTTGTGCCTAGTGAAAGGGATCTTTATGTAGATGAAAATGTGATTCTAGAACTCGATCGGCACGTGAGAAAAATCCTTATGATAATTAGTTGGTAAAAGACCTTTGAGAGAACAAACAGATCAGGACAGTCAGAAAGTTGTCTAGCAAGTGTCTAAAATGAAAAAGTGTGCACAGTGTAAATTTATTGTGATGCATGAATTATCAAACCACATAAAATCAATACAAGGGAAAATAATGTAATAGTAAGAATAGAACATATATCAGTAGAACAAACACAGAGAAATCGAATATATGACATGATAAGGTACAAGCAAGATGGGCGACAACAAGATATGTGATGTGTCACCAGGTACTTACATATCACGCAAGAGTAGTGTGTGCTATAAGCTATCTGTTCTTCCTTTACTGAATCAATATTTGGAAAGGATATTTCGTAACATGTTACATACTCGGAATGCAACTGTGCTTAGGTCCAAGCAAGCACAAACTTTAAATAAAAGCATCATGCCTCAAACATTAGTAACTCCTCTCAAGTAGGGGTGGAAACCAACCGAATCGAATCAAATATCATAACATTTGAATTATAATTCGGATTAGATCGTGATATTCAAATTTATATTTGAAATTGAGTCGAATACTAAACCAAATACAAATTCGATTCGTACATGTATACGAAAGTTTGGTCACACTATTTGTGACTATTCGATTATGAACTTAGTCCATTTCATCGACTCCTGCAGACAGCTTTGGAAGAGAGGAGATCATCTGGAGAGAAAGGGCGATGTTAGGGAATGTGTTGCAAATGAGAGAAAGGGGAGAGTCTCGAGAGAGCGATAAAAAAGTTCGGATCTAAATTTGGGGCAGAGGCACGGAAGAAGGGGAAAACCTAAACTTAACTTGGTTTAAATGGGCCTGGGCCCTGTACTATTATATCATGTTTGTGGGCCTAGATATTAACTCCTTTCTATAAAGCCTAGATTTATTAACTTATTAATATGGGCCTAGATTATCAAATTATTTATACGTGATTGAATATGTTAACAAAATATTTACAACGAATAATATTTACAATTTTAAAATTTGTAAGGAGCTAAACATGACATGATTTGTACTAGATCAATAATATTTCAACACTTGAAAAATACGAGTAATCACAAGGTACACGTGTATGAAAATCTATATCCCCCATGTTTGAATTCCAAAGATAATAATTCCATCACCGCGAGTCCCACATGTGAGTCGATAATGGCTTGACACATATTCCATCTACCCATCAATTACATTCTCCTCAGTATACTATTTCCAAGCAACAACTTTTCTCAATGAACAAGTGGAGGTTGCTCAAGTGCAATGTTGTCGTAACACAATAAAAGTTCTCAGATTATCCTTCTGATTAAGAAGGATGAATAAGAGAAATGATGCCTTACGTGAATCCGCTAATAGCATGAATCTTTTATTTTCTTCCTAACAAACACACGACAACAACTCGTCAGACGACACTAAAATGATTCTCGGGATAGAGTTCTGATACGCTCTCGAATGCTCAAGTTAGAACGTCACAAACCTTAGCAAAAGTTAAGTTAGGAAAGTTATTATCATTCATTCCTTTTAGGGCCTATTCGTTTGTTTTCTAAAAACCAAGAAATGAAAATGGAAATGGTGAAAATCTCAAAACTCACCATTTCCTCCATTTCCATCCCTAAAACTCACCCACAACATCCAATAAAATATTATTTCCATCCAACAACTCATCCACATCATCTAATAAAATATGATTTTCATCTAACCACTCATCCATCACATCTAATAAAATATTATTTTCATCTAACAACTCATCCATCACATCTAATAAAATATTATTTTCATCCAAACATCACTCAACTCATCTATTCTCATCATTTCATATCACTCACATCATCCAATAAAATATTATAACAATTCATCTCATCTCATTAACATTTCATTTCTTCATTTTCATCCCAAAAAGTTATGAAAACACTTTTCTTAATCTTTCTTCACGTCACCCAATAATACAATGACAGGTCATCTCATCTCATTTCATTTCTTATTTTTAAGAATGAACCGAACAAAAGAAAACAAGAAACTATAGGAAATAGGTTTCTTATAATTCATTTCCTTATTTTTTTCGCCAATCGAACACTCCAAAACTAGTTTTCTTAAAAAATCACAAACATCATCCAATAATAAGGTGACAACTAACATCATTTCAATTTCATTTCCTTCTTTTTTAGCCAACCAAACACTCCAAAAACAATTCTTCATTTTAATAGTTTTCCATTTCTTTGATTTCCCTCTTTTTTTTAGGCAAACGAACAGGCCCTTAGAGAAAAAGGTGTTGGAGTACAAGGTAGGTATTAGAGATTCTAATCAAAATCATGTTACACCACAACAACCATTATCTCATCTTGAGTAAGCATTATAACCAAAATCCCAACAAACTCTTGTCTCCTGTTTGTAACTTGTTGAGATCGTGATGACTCAAATCAGTTGAGAAGCAAGATCGGGTTTGAACTCTAATTAAGATTAGTTATACTATCCTAATTAGGATTGGATTGAAGGAATTAATTGAATTGGGAAATCCAATTAGAATTTAAGTTAGAGTTCTAATAGGATTGAGCAAAATCAATCTCTATATATATTGTATCAATCCATGGGTTTAACAACAAGAAATAAGAAAGATCTATATTCCATCATTATTAGGGGTGTAGTTTCAACCTCTTGTAATCTCTTCTCAAAAGAAATAAGATCTTCCCCCTTCTCCCCATATACGTACACGGGTCATCTTGATCGCGTGAAATCACGTTAAATCTTGTTGTTTGTTATTTGTCTTGATTGCTTGGTAGATTTGGGTTTCTTGATTGTTTAAGTTTTATCTTCTGCGGCTTGCATACTCAAACAATTGCTATCAGAGATACTATGGCGACTAAGACGACAACGACCAAGTTTGAGGTGAAGAAATTGTTAGATATAGGTGCCCTGCAGGCAATTATTATATATTGTAACAGGACCTATATGTATATAACATCCATGCCTTGTTCAAATGATAGTATGCTATTTTGGTCAGATTTATTTTGATGTTCTAAATATACAGATAATGTCCTTAGAAATAAATACTAGACTATCAGACATTTCGGATAGTGATCGTAATGAAGCAGATCTGATTAGTCGGTAACGTATATTCTAAAATGTTCCTAGTTGATGAAGTGTTGAGATAGGACATCATCACTTTGGTTTAGACTAGGTATGCTTTATTTCTCCTTTTAAAGAGATGATCAATCTCTTAGATCATTGATGTGAGACATCAAGATACAGTATACAGGTGACTCATTAGTGAATGAGTTGACTGAACGACTCGCCGAGAACATCTAGTTGTAATATACTTAACTGTCAAATAGAAGTTCTCAGTGATATAGTACATAGTAGTCTCTTGACCTGAGGCATGAGTGCAATATCTTATATGTCAGTAAAGATGTATTTAGACTTTTAACCTAACCACAGTTCTTATTGAATTGTGCATAACGGTTCTTGTTGGGTACATCCCGAGACATAAGTAGATATTGAGATGCCAAGAAGGGGATTCGTCTCTC